CATTCCTGCCTTCTAACCCGTTCAAGGTTCCGGACTTCACACGGTCCCAGACGTCCAACAAGTCCGACTGCAAGGCGGAGCACACCGGTGACGGGGAGGCCCAGAGCCCGCTCGGCACTTCCGGTGGGACTGGCACATTAAAGGGAAAGCGGCTCATGCCTTTTCTGGAGCCGTGAAACTGCAGAGCTAGAAACTCCCAGCCTACAGAACTGAGGAGCGAGCTTACAACTGAGTCCACTCCTCCAGCTCCAAGTTCTACAGACTATGGCACTTCAATTGCCAGAGGGCATGTGCACTCACCAGAGGACTGGGGCCGCCCCAAGGAGTCCGGCCATGCCAGTCCCATCTCTCCCACCCTGCCAGGACAGCAGGTGTACACACAGCACCCGGCACGGTGTTTCATACAGGGGCCTGATTCTGAACGTGGCTGGCCAGGTGGGACCCAGCTCCCTTAACCACTAGTTACACAGCTGGCCTGACCGTGGCATCTTAATATTTGATTTTGGGACCAGCAGTTGGTGTAATGGCTATGTCGCTGGACTCCCATGTAGTCGACCGTGGTTCGAGTCCCGGACCCGGTGGCTTCAACTCACACCGGGCATGTGTACATGCGTGCCCAAGATCCCGAGGAGAATGGAGAAAGGACTGCGGCATAGGCAACCCCCTGGGGGGTGATTTCTCATTTCCTGTCTCTGTCTCTGGTCTTTCTGGCAAGCGCACACGCCCTACAGTAAAAAAATAAATCTCAAAAAAAAAAAATTAGATTTCGACGTCAGGGAGTCAATGTAAACATTTGGTAACTAAAGACAAAAGAGGAAACAACTTTACATATTTGGTAAAGACAAAGGCCGAGTGTCTCCCCTCTAGAAGGCATGTGGACAGGCCCAGGACAGGACTGCTCCCTAGCACCAATGACATAGCAGGGACTCAGGTCAGTTTTTCTTTAAAGAGATTTTTGCTTTGGGGGGTGGTGAGAAATCACCCGCCGGGGCAGTGGCCACACGCAACCCCTTCGCCATCGTTCTTGGGATTCCGGGCACACGCATGCACACACAGCCAGCGTGAGTGTGAGGCCGCCAGGTCTGGAACTCGGCGACATAACCACCACGCCATCTGCTGGCCCCATGAAGCCCAGATTGTATTTTCAAGTGCTTCCCATGAAGAAGACTGGGCCCCTTGCAGAAACAGGAGAATCTGGGGCTGGAGGCCGGGACAGAGAAGTTACAAGATGTGTGACAGTTGGGGGCCAGGTGGCGAAGCCCTGAGCATACTGGGCACATGTGTACCCCTGAATCTGGGCCGAGGATGACGGGGTGGATCAAGGCACATACACCCTGTAGGGGTCTCTTCTGTCGGTGAAGAAACACTTTCAAAAGCTAAGGCGGAGAGTAAGAGTGCTCAAGGAAAATGACAGAGCATGCCAATCGGCATCTTCTGAGCCCAGTGTTTTGCAGAATGGCAGATATGAAAACGTTCCTAAGTAAAATGCTGAGAAATGTGGAAATAGGGGTTGATTTGGACAATCACCGGTTTGCAACCGTCACCGTTAAAGACTGGTTCGGTCTGGCGAAAACACGAGGCGCTCCTAACAAAGGGGCAAGGTGTCTGCAGTGTCCCCGACTGCGAAAGCATACAGCGGAGAGTCGGGCAACTGAAATCATCAATAAAGAGCGCCTGCTCCTGGATTTAACAGAACCACAAACCTAACGCAAATGCGTACTCCGTAAGTTTATGAGAAACAGCCCCGTACTCCAGAAATGCCAAGGTCCTGAGGCAAAGGCTAAAATACTGCTCAGACGCGAGGACAGGAAGCTCGCGGCAACCTGCCGGACCACCCCGTCGCAGAGGGGACCCGGCACCTTCACCACACCACCTGCTGGCCCAGCCAGCAGACTAAGGTCTACCCAGTGACTTAGGAAAAAAGTGACCACTCCGAGCTGCGTGTATTCACCTGAACAGTCAGGGAACTTTC